CCACCCAACAAAGAACATGAATAAAGAGCTTCTTGAATAAACATTCCTTCTGACTCTAAATACCAGGAGGCAAGTAATGCGACGGGCCAATTTTTTCCTGAATAAATCAATATATTTTTTGTTCAGTAAACCGATTTCCTATTGAACACAGGTCAGCACAGCCGAAGACCCTCTTTTGGTTCTATGCAGAAAAGGATTTCTTTTCCTTAAATTATGATACATGAGCCTAGAGGTCTATACATATTTTCGGGTAAAAAGCTAATTTTAAGGACAAAGAAGCTTGTTTTCTCTCTAACCCAGTGGTCAAAGGTGGGCCAGCAGGTGGCTCTGCTCCTTGCAGACATTAAAGGACTAAAGTTCCTTCCATCCAGTTTCTCCACCATCCCCCAGGATATTGCCATCATCCGCATGTTCAAAGCCAGCTGTAGGCTGTTCTGTGTTTTAGTACCAAGCAAAGGTAAGGCTATGTGTAGGCCTAGAAATGTCTCCTATCACTTTGGCTCACATTTCATTGGCAAGTGAGTCTTGAATATAGTCCCTAGCTGAGAGGCTACATGCCCAGCTAAAACTAAATCATTACCTTGAAAGAGTGGGAAATAAATTTGGAGGACAGCCAGCCATCTTCACACTGGGGTACACCCACAATTTTGGGATATGTCTTCAGCAAAAGCTGAAGTCCACACTACACAAAAGAAACAATGAATCAGGGAAAAAACAAGACCTTATGCATTCAAATACACAATAAATAAAATACTATTTTACCCAAGTATAAGATTGTGAGCCTGAACTTTCCCCGTGTTTACTTCAAATCTGTTTTACTTAGAACAACCTTTTGAAAATGAAAGGCCACAACACCTTTTTAAATATATGGAAGTGGGCCTCATCTAAGAAGAATAACAGATATTAAAAATATTGCCGCATGACACAGAGGGTCAAGGATGTACCCAGGATGCCTCCAAATCTGAAAACGATGCTGAGTTGGAAATCAAAACAAAACCTAAGACTCTCCAAGCCCAAACATACGGGCCTTAGACACACATATGGTTTCCATCTCTAGCTGAAAGAGCTGGATCTAAATGGAGTTTCAAAGAACATATGCAGTTTCCTAAATAGAATTAGGTAGATCAGGATACCTTCCAACCCAAAAGTTTAGCAGTGTCCTTTGCACAACTAAAGATTTGCTGTTCTAAAAACTAGTCTTTGCTAAAGTTTCCTGGCTGGTCTTGGATCCTTATAAAATTTGGTTTTCATGTGTGTTGGGGAAGCTTTTTTTTGTGAGAAGGCTTGTTCTATAAGAAGGCTAATGAGAATGCCAGAATTTTCACTTTGGAGTAAAGTATATAAATTAAGCTGTCCATAACTTGAACATTTGAAAAGTACCTCAGTAACATGAATTTGGGGATTGACTTTTCAATACAATGTATACCCCATTAAAAAAAAAGTCTGGCCAATAAGACAGTAATCAAAATAAAAGTAAGGCATTTCTGTAGTCAAAAAAAATGAACAGAATCTAGAATTGTAGCTATTTCAGATTCCTCTGTCAAAATGCTGTATTCATCCTACTCCGTGGACCATAAACATGAAATTATAAAGAGAAAACTCTAAAACTATGAGTCTGAAGTGAGAGAAGGAGATATGAGGATGTGCCCTGATGACCTAATTGTCCCTATTTGCTCTATTTATAGAGCCACTAGTCACCTTTCAATTTTATCAAGGTCCTGGAGCCATACATAGCAAAAGTCCTTGTTGAAGGATTTTGTATATGGAAATTTTATATCTTGTCTGTTTCATTTTGTAAGCCATGCTATATAACACATTGTGTCTCAATAAGCCTCTGTTTGATTTGAAGTGTGTTAATGGTTTGCTTTTTAACTACTTTTGGGCTGGGATTGGCTGATTAATTTTCCCAGTCTCATGATATGATTTCTCTAATTGCTGTAGTTCTAGAAGAAAAAAAAAGCTAGAATAATGCTTAATGCTCACTGTTCCCATTGGTAAATTGACCAAAGCTTAATAATTTTAATAGATTTCTACCCAACCAACAGTATCAAAATGTAATAGTTATTGAAATCATTACTGGAAATATTCCACTGAGGTCTCTCAAATTAACCATATCAGCTGTACAAAAAAAAAATTCTCAGAGAATTTCCAGCCTTGCTCCTTTGCTTTGTGATATGGAGGCTTGACAGTAATTGTCTGGATTAATTAATCTGCTTTGTTAGAAGAAGGCTGGAAGTCAGCCAGTGTGCAAGTCTTATGGTTAAGTTGTTGAAATTGTGTCTTCAATATGAAATTAAGATAGTGCAATTACTAGGTGAACTCAGAACTCTCTCAAACTAGTCTACAAAAGCATGAGAGAGGAGTGTACAAATACACATTGGTCAATATGTATTTTCACCTCTGGAGCAGTTTCTTAGGACTCATAGGACTTGGTAGTTAGAAAAATCTTTAGTCCACTCTCTTACCTAGAGTTGGTGAGAAAGGTGAAAAACTTGCCTCAGTTTACAATTCCTTTGGACTCCTATTCCAGTGCTCCTTCCTCATCATAGCTTGCTGCCAAACTCTTCCCATCTTGAAAAAAAATGAGTCATGGGAATCCTGAGACCCCATAGTCAATGCTAGAATAACTTCTTTTTTTATGGATCATTTACATCACTGTTTTTTGTTTATTTTTTAATTTTTTAAATTAAAGTTTATTGAGGTGACAATTGTTAGAAAAGTCACATAACTTTAGTTTCTAGTCATTCATTTCTAAAATCTGATAGGGAGTCACAGAAGTGGAAAACGTGGCCATCATAAGATATGAAAGAAGAAAAAGACATTCTCAAGGGTAAAGGCTTATGCACAGGCTGTTGCTCTTCTGAGTCACGCTAGCGAGGGTCTTCCTGGAGAGCATCCTCAGAAGAAAAAAGTAGAAATATTTCACTTGCTCTCTCCTTTCTCAATAACACAAGTAAACATTGGCAGCCCACCCGCCTGGGGAACTGGCATAACAGCCCCGGGTACCTGTGAGGATTCACCTGCCAGAGATAAGAACGCTGAATACATGGACAGCACCTATAGCTCCTTGTTGAGGGAGCAAACATTTCCGCCCCTGAGAGCTATCGGCTCAAGAGGGCCCTCCATCTTTGAAGGTGAAACTCCAGAAGTTAGATTAGAGAAGCAGAATCTAGTTAAACGGAACCTCTGGCTCTTTGTCTGGCAGTTAGAAAGAGGTTTCCTTTTTAATGAAGTACATCTTCTTAAATCCCAGTGTTACTTTCGTGCATCCTTCTATATGAAAGGGTTTTCTAGAAGCAGCACGTGTAGTTAGAATTGCTCACACGCACTTTCACCAGCAGGCTGGCTTCATCACTAGAAAGGTTGGATGCAGATGCAGCCAGCTGCTACTCTGTGGCTGCATTGTCCCTATCCACAGGGATAGCACAGAAAATATAGGGCAGAGAATTCAACTGGGATCATCGAGGGGAGTCCCACACAAGACATATAGGTTGAGGCATCTCAGATCTTGCAATTCTCTGTGTTGGTAAGTGAACTGTGCTGGAGAAGATAGTATTGACAGGGATTCATGCACTTTTTCTCCATGACCTGAATGAGTTTCTAAACAACAATACTACTAATTGACATGTTCATTCTTAACTCATAGTCACTATTTAATCAATAAATATTGACTTAGTGCTGTACTAGACACTGTAGTAGGCACCCTTTAAAATTCCAAGAGCAGAATATGTGAATTCCCTGCTACCCTAATCATTTTTGGGGTGACCTGCCCCCCTGTCACTCCTCTAACGAGTCCCACTTTGTCAATATTCAAAAGAGATTGCAGAGCCGCAGTGAGCAGCCGTCCAGAAGCCGGCGACTGATCTGCCTTGCCCGGGAAGAGCGCAATGATGGTGCTAAACTTTGGCCAGTGAAGCAGCGTCCTCCACAACTAGACTGAAGAACAAAAGGACAGCAACTTGTCTGTTCCCCTTCCCCCAATTCCCCAGCACTGTTCCCATCCCCTCAATTCCCCAATAAAAAATAAAAAATAAATAAAAATAAATAAAAACAAACAGATTGCAGACTTGAACAGAATGGACACAGAATAACCTTTAAGGTTTTTAGTTTGGTACATTATGTGTTTAATTTTTACATTTGATGACTATTAATGGAAACAGAAACAGAGCCTGGATTCTTGGTTGCTGTGAAAGGTAGAATGGTAGCATACAGATCCAGTACCACATTCTCCTTTCCCTTAGCCCACTGAGCTCCTGTGTCTGGTCAGAACTGTTCTAGAACAGCATATCAATTAGGCAAGCAGAGGTTTGATGGGGTTGGGCAATCATCCTACCAAATGCATCTGTCCAATTCTGTTTATTGGTGTTTCTATTGAGTGCCCAGCACCTGATCACCTAGTCTCTTTGAAATGATGGCCACTTAAAAAAATAAGTAAAAGATAACAGAAAATCCTTCCTTTCTTCTAATTCTAAAACAGTCCCTGACCATCAAACCTTTAGAATCTATTATACCAAGAGTATCTCAGTGGTAGAACTGAGAAAAATCTATACATTCATTATTACCTGTATTTATTGGGACATACAGTGTTATGCTATGGTAACAAATAAAGGCCAAAATTGCAGGGGCTATTCTGTCAGTGTTTCCATTCAGTATCCATCACCAAATGGAAGCTTATATCTTGTGCATGCAAAGTCAATGAAGGTCAGCAGGGTGCTCATCCATCAAGTGACTCAGGGATCCAGGCTCCTTCAGTACTGAAATGCTATCACATCCACACATGGCTCACAGGGAACAGAGAGCATAGAAAACTCTTAACTGCTTCAGACTACAAATGAGCCATCTCTTCGCTCAGAACCCATTGGGCAACACTAGTCACATGGTCTCCTACTACTTTCAGAGCTGCTTGAAAGTATGCTTCTCATATGCTCAGGAATGAAGGGACACAAGATATGGAAAGCACTAGGCATCTCTACCACTTCTACCAATGAATAAACTCTTACACTGTGGAGAGGTTTTTGTTACAACCATCTTCAAAACTGTGAGTGCAGGGGCCGAGTAGCTCAGTTGGTTAAGAGCTCGCTCAAGAGTTTGAGCTCTGAGCAACAGCGGTTCGAGTCCAGCCCGAGCTGAGCAGCCGCTGAGCTGTCAACAGGTAGCAGGATGGCTCAGCTAAAAAAAAAAACAAAAAACTGTGAGTGCCACTTCTGAAGACTACAGAAAGTCCCGCTGCATTAAGGACAATGAGCTCACCATGATCCCCAGACCCTGCCTTCCAGGCCCACATGAGGGGCCATGGCTTTTTTATTACCTGCTTCCAGGAGCATCATGTGATCTCTTTCTTACCTGAAGATATAGAATTGCTGCTGTATCAATCTAGCCACCAAAACATCAAGAGTAACAAGAAAAGAAAACTTTAATTCTCCAGAATCTCTTATAGCATGAGGAATCAGTTTTTGGTAAGAAAAACACTTTAATTAGAGGTTGGCTATAAATTCACAAATGTTACAGAATCGTGTGTTAGATAAACAAAGCTGAAGTTACTCTGGAGGAGGAAGAAAAACGACAAGTTGTGTGGGACAGCAGACCTCCTTCACTGAGATAGGAGCTCCCTAGGAAACCCTGTTGTCTTTGATAAAGCTACAAAACTCAGAAACGACATGTGTAAGAGTGAACTTTAATAAAAACATTGATGTGGACTAGGAAGGTAGCATTCAGGGACTAAAGCAAAAAGGAGGCTTAAGGGAACAAGTGCCAAGAAAAAGCCATTGCAGGAAGGAGTCTGGGTTCAGTGAGGTCATGAAGTGAGGATTTCAGTCAAGTCTGGCCAGATCTTTAAGGGCAGGAGCCCCACTGACACTTGGTCCCCATAGGGAAATGACTTTATCTGTACTGGAATGGGGCTGGTGACAGCCTCCAGCTATGCCACTGGAAAGAAGATGCAGCTGGTGTAAAGTAATTAACTCATTTCATAGTGCCCCTCCTAAAGCCTTCATATTACATCTCCTGAACATCTATAGCAAAAGTCAACTACTGTCACCTCTTACGGAACTTAACCAGATTGCCTTCTGTTCATTTGAAAGTTTAGTCTAGCTTCTTCCGCCTCATCACCACTTCTCATACACACACACGCTGAGAGCCCGGACCCAGAGAAATGTGCCTCCTCGACAGGAATCATCGCTGTGCCTGGCCTTACCTAGAGATTGCACAGGATAAAGGAGAGGCTGTGTTGCATAATGGTTAGCCCCAGAGCTAGGCAGTACAACCATACTAGCATATATCCCGACTTCAGTCCCTCATTTCTATTAAGAGCTCTTATCTCCTAGGGCTATGCTGGGAACTAAATGAGAAAAAGACTATAAAACTGTTAAGTGTAGGAGCTGGTGTATAGTAAGCTTCTGTAAAGCTGCTATAATAGTTACTGTCCTCTATGAATATGGACAACAGAAAGAGATGGAATCTTGGAGATGAATCACTGTGATACCAGCTCGGCTGGGCTGGGGGATTATTTGGGGGAAAGAACTAGCACCAGGAACACTATAGGTGACCTGGAGAAAGTCACAGCATAAGAAAGTCCACTTTGTCTTGATGAAAGACCTGATGCTGTTGAGAAATCTTAGTGGACTAGGGATGTGGAAAAACTAAGTGGATTAGTGATATGGAAATGAAGTGAAGGCAGAAGGCACTTCCCAGATGCCCCAAGAATGGCAGAGACTATGAGTGGCCCCCAATATGTTTGCCACTTCTTCCATATTCCTCAAGCAGCAGAATGGACAGCTAGGTGTGGCCATGTGACTGCGGCCCCAACAATGGGATATATGTGAAAGTCTTGTTCAGGAGCTCCCGGGAACCTTCCCTGATAAACAGCAGGCATCTGCCCCTTGTCGTGTCTCCATCTCTCTTTCTTACTGGCAGGAATGCAGGTGTGATGGGCAGCTCTAGAGTGGCCATCTTGGACCAAGAGGCGTCCTTGAGAATGGAAGCTCACATGGAACCACAAAAAAGAAGCAGCAACAGACGGAGGATGGACAACACTGGATGGAGGCTAGTGTGCTACACAAGTAAAGTCGCCATCACAGAGGAGAAGGAGAAAGGAGAGGAGAGTAAGATGAGCAGAACTCTTGACCATCCGCCTCCAGATTCTTATGTAAAATGGAAATAAACTTCTATCTTGCTGAAGCTACAGTTACTCTGGGTCTCATTTATGCATAGTCCAACTTAATCCTCAATAGTACTAACTTACTCTACCAATGTGGTCCTTGTTGATATTTCCATTTAACCAGCCATGGCTGTTCATTATATGTCTTTTCAATTAAACTAGCATTTATTATATCATTAATCTCATTGGAACAGAGTTAGAATCTCACTCCAATTTAAATGATCTTCAAAATGAAGATTGAATGTCAGTCCTACTGCTTTCCATCTTGCCTGGGTATTGTAACAGTTTCCAGAGATTTAATAAAAACACAAATGGGAGTCAAGACAAAGCTTCATGATTTGTCTGGATCTGACCCAAGGAACACCTTACTCGGCCATGGAAACACATACAAAAATTATTAGTATTTGAAAAAGGTTTCTGGCCTCCCTTCATCCAACAGAGTTATCCCAAACACAAGCTCAGCGTTCTCAATCGCTCACTCAGCGTGAATCAGAATCCCCCCTAGGTGATCAGTGAGGGCACGACAGCTCCTTTCCATGGCCCAGGTTGGCAGCACCCACCCTGCACATTCAGATGCCAAGTCTTGGAGATACCGCCTGCTGGCACAGTGGACAGTGCTGCTGACTGGGCTAGAGAAGGAGAATGGTAGGGGCTGGGAAGTGGTTCCAGCCAGGAGGCACTCGGCACCCTGGCCATTCCACCTGCCATTATCCTCCATGATGGATGGGAGGTCACCTGACAGAGGTCAGGCCTCCCACCCTTCCTCCTGTGACTGCTTTGGGCCTGGGCATCCAACTCATCTATTATTTAGTTGACAGGGATTACTTTCAGCACCTTTATGTTTGTGCTCTTTTCTTCTTTCACCAGCCTTAACAGGTATTCCATTTTACCTTCATACCAACTCTTAGAAAGTGGGCATGGAAGATATCATTCTTGGTATTTCACATTGAGGAAATAGAGGCCCTGAGAGCTGCCAACCACACTTCCATAACTGAAGTGCCTGCCATCTCATAGGGAGATTTGAGCTGCACCTGAGACCTGGCCCAAGGACAGCTGGGAGGTGGGCTCGGTGGGGAGGAGGGGATGCAATGCATACCTGGAGGAAGGAGGCCTGAAAAAGGCTTCCCCAGGTGCCAAAAAGCACAAAGCCCCCTCTCTTTGCCTGTCACAGAGTAAGGGAACATTTGAACTGAAATAGGAAGTATATAGTTTAGAATGAATAAGCAAAGGCAGACAAAAAAAAAATAAAAGCCTGGGCTGGAAAAATAAGTCAAAATTTTAATGTTCCCAAGCACAGGCCTCTCCATCAAGTAATAGAGTGTGCTGTGCAGTCAATGTGTTTACTAGATCAGTAGCTCTCAGACGGATTCAGGATTGAATAAACACTGAAGAAGGAAGGGCTCCCGTGTCCAGGACATCTTGGCTGTTCTTTTCACGTGCACGTAAATGAGCAATGTGCTTCAAGCTTTGTGTTCTTCTCTGTTGTGATCTTACCACCAAGGAGCCAGGGGAAGGTTGTGATGAAATTAACAGAGCAGGGCGACCTGTGATGGAGGTTAACCTGCCGGGGCAGAGGCAGCCATAAATCAGCATCCTGGCTTCATGCACACGCCAGCAGCACAGCATACAAAGGGGCCTTCAGTCAGCCAAATGCAACAGCACCACTATAGCTAGACAGTGTTTTCTTTTCTAGAAACTAGAAAGGTCTTTTAAGACAGATGGACTTTTGGTGTCTGAAAAACTGTAAAACAGGGAGATGAGGTACAATATGCACAGGGAATCTACGTCAGTGTCTTCATGCTTTTTTTTCCTTGCCAAAAAACAGTACATTCAGTTTTTGTATGTGGTGAAGGATACACTCTGGGTTTTTTTGTGTGTGTTGTTTTTTTTTTTACGCTAATAATACTTTGAGTAACAGAGTAAAAATATCTGAACTTTCCTTCTTCTTTTTTCTGTTTTGTGGGAATTGATCAGAGCTTATTTATGAACAGACATTAATTTATCATGATGTCAAGGAAGAAAAATCAATTTGTTGAATGCCTACTATGTGCCCAGTGCTTTCTGCGCTAGCATTTAATTTTCTTTACAACATCCTCCCCGAGGTAGGTTTTATTGGGACTCTTTTGGAGATGATAAAATGGAGTCCTGGGGAAATTAAATCATTTTTCCCAAATCACACAATGAGTAAGTGTTAGAATTGGAATTCAATGGTTCAAAAGACAGACCCCAGGTTACCATCTCAGAGAACTGAGGTTGTTTTACCGTGGAGTTCTCCCACCACCCACGTCAGACTTGGTAAGAATTTTGCATGGGGTGAAGATACCACCATCATATGGGGAAGAGGCTTGATCACTGCACTGTACACCTGAAGCTGATGTTGTATAATATTGTATATCAACTATAAGTGAATATATATATATATATATATGTATATATAGTCATGGGACGTGGATAGTGTGGGAGTGGAGTCAAGGGAATTGTAATAGATATGTATGATATTGGGGGGAAGTGGGGCAGTCAATTGGGGGAGGGGGGTGGTCACTTCAAGGGGTAAAAAGTATAACTATTGCACTGTGTTGTACAGCTGAAACTAATTCTAAAAAATGTGTATTTCATAATAAAAAATGATTTAAAAAAAAGATACCACCATCATAAACTGCCTACTGCCCTCAAGGGTTGCTTCTGTGCCAACTCTCTACTTGCATTGTTTGAGGGTGTCAAGATTAAGTCCTTGGTGTGCCATCCACCTCGGGGGCCACAGTCAGGATGTGTTGTTGGTGTTGCTTCATGCATTCTCCTCAACACCCTGTCACCTGTCATACCCATTGTAGAGGTAAAGAAAGGACATCTCAGACAGATTACATAACTTAACCCATGTCTCACACACATAAGCCAGTAAGCGCCAGAACCCGGGGAGACACCCCAACTCTCTGGAATTCTAAAGCCCATGTCCCTTCCACTGCTTCTCATAGACTCCATCATTAATTAAAGATAGGGAAAGCCTGCCTCGTGGCTGTACACTCCAAACCCCTTCATTTACTTATTAAAAAGTGGAGCTCCCACGAGGAAAAGTTGGCCAAGGTCAGAGGTAAGGAGCCAGGCACGTGGACTTCAGGTCCTGTGAACTGAACATCCAGGTGAGCTGCTACAAGGAAGGGAGGCTAATAGCTCAGGTGCCAGGGGCTCAAACAGAATACACAGCATTTCATTTAGAAAACTACACAAGGATTCAGGAGAAGGAGATTTGGATAAAAAGAGATTGGCCCTTTTACGTAAAATATGAGCTCAGAAACACTCACAAGTGACCAGCGTTACTGAATAATGAATCAAGAGCAGGCGGGTAACAGTTTGAAATGCAAATGGATGGATGAAGGTGTGATGCTGTCATCCAGGGGAGGATGATGTGACTGGAATGGTGAACCAGCCTCACCTGCTCCCACTAAAAGTGCAGACACAAAGAAGTGAGGCTATCAGAGAGAGGACCCTAGAACCCCTAATTCCTGGCTTTGACCTGCAGTTTACTTTTATGTCCCTGTCCCCAAAGAGATGTCAAAAAATGACGAACAGCCAGTTAGGGGAAGGGGAAGCAAAACCATCTAAAGAAATGTTACCTGACAAAGCTGCAGGCAACACACTTGAGAACACCTTTACTTTCCTTATGTTTTCTTGCTTCTTGAAAAAATAAAAAATGCACCTTTTGTCTCTCCTCCCTCCTCTTTCTTCCCAAATTCTCTAGAGCTCTTCCTGCAAGTGGTTCCATGTGACTCAAAGACAGACAACAGCTGCAAGCAAAGGAACAAAAAAGAAGATTGACAATGGGAAAAGAAACAGGCGAGACAAATTCCTTCACTTATCACACCAGAAAATGCTGTGGCTTAAAAAACAAAGTCTGCCAAAGACAGAACGTCTCTTCTCTAACTAAACATTGATCAGAAATCTCTATTCTAGAGAAGTATGACAGCTTGGCATTCAGATCACAGCATCTTAGATCTGGAATGCATATCTGTGCCTAGAGTAGCCTGGTCCATAGTAGGCGCTAACTGTATGTCAGGTCTTTTTCTCTCTGTCCTTGTCTAATATACTTTTCCACATGGGCAAGACTTCCTTGAGCCCGTGAACTCTCTAGGCTTCAGTTTAGTTCTCTGAAAAATGGAGCTGATGCTGGGGCGCACCTCAGAGGGTGAGAGCCTAGCCAGCGCCTGGCGCTCCTGTGAGCTCCTGGAGTGCCTGTCATTTTTACCATTCCAGATGGAGGAAGCAGCATGTGCAATGCCCCCAAGAAAGCTTGGTTCATTTGGGGAAACCGCCAGTACTTCTGGGTGGCCAAAGCACCGGGTTCAAGGTCAGGGTGGCAGAAGAGGCAGCTGGCAAGGCGGGCACAGGCCAGAAGCTGGAGCGTGAAAGGTGTGGGGCATCTGCTCTGTGCGACAGGAGCTGCTAGGCAGGCCCAGAGGACAGGAAGCAGAAGTGAGATGGAGCTAGAGGGGAAGAAGGCTGAGGAGACCCTGAACTAGTTCTGTCAGGACGGGGATGGAGAGAGAGAATGTAGGGACTGTCGAGGACATGGACAGGTGCAGTCTACTGCGTGACCCACTCCCACTCTCGTTGTCTAGGCAGAGAGCACGGTGGGGTGGGGTGCTGGCTGCCGGCTTTTTGTGGGGCTGAATCCATTGAGCTGATTTTCAGCAGCCCTCAGGCTCCTCTGCCTTGAGTTGTCACTGTTATTTTCTGCTTCTTTTCCCAGAAACTAACAGCTGTATGCCTGCCTTTCTCATTCCCCCTTCCTCTCGCATCTCTCCTTTCTCTCTGCTCCTCTCTCTTCCTGTCTCCTCCTATTTATCCTTCTTACCTTCTCTCCTTTGGAGCAAAATCATAAGTGACTCCCTTCACCCAGAAATCTGCACCCACCTTATGGGCCTCTCCACAAGTCTTCTCATTTTCCTCACGTTTCTGCATTGCGCTGATAGTTGTGATAGTGAAGATTGGTGCCAGGAGTAGAAGGAGTTGGGTAGCTAAGAAGAAACAGGAAAGTTTTGTCCTGTTCCCAGTGATTCCACCTGCCGTGGAGCCGCCCTCTCCTCACCTCCTCACACCCACCCCCATTGCTTTGGACATTGTCCAACTAGAAGTCAACTGTTTACTTGGAGAGTCCTGGTTCCTTTCCGAATAGAATCTCATACAAATACACAAAAGTAATCCATAATGGAAATAATAATAGACTAGAGCCAAGCACTGTTGCTTATCCTCTTACTTAGTACAACCTGCTATGGTGCATGCATTTTTCCCAATTTAAAAACCCTGTTCTTAATGCTTTAAGATTCAGAGAGACAATATACTATAACTCTTAAGTCCATGGACACTTTCTTTCCAATTTAAAATTTATAGCATGCTTTCCTCTAGGAAGATGTTCTAGTTCCTAATTTCAAAAGCTTATGGGCATGACTTCCAAAACCCCATAATTTAAGGATCCACTATTTCACTGTCAAATATACATATGGAAATTGTACCAGCTAGGAAATATTATTTTTAAGAAATTGAAAGTTAATTTATTTAATCTAAGGAATATTTTTCGAAGAAAAAAAATAATCCTAAGGCAGAACTCTGAGCTTTTTATTATTGCAGTGAAGGCGTGTAGGGGAATTGGGTTGGTTTTTGGTGTTTCATTGTGGGGTTTTTTGGGGGTTTTTTTTAGGGGGGGAGGTGTTCATTTCTCAAAGAACTGTGGATTTACACACGGAATATTGTCACCAATTGTTCTTCATCCCCAATCTAATAGGACATGAAAAGCTAATGGCTTAAACGTGAGTGAGAAAGATTTAGGTTCAACAGGAGGAAAGGCGGTCCTGATGATAAGGATTGTTAGGACATTAGTAGGGCTGGGGCTTCCTTCTGTGGAAGGCTTTACCATTTTTGTAGATTGTCATCTCTCTGGGCAGACTTAGGCTTGTCATCATCTCAAAGGAGTCCACTTATGAGGAAAAGCAATGAGACAAGTCCCCCATTCCCTCACTTAGTCCCCAGGGCCCCCTCAACGTCATCCTGGGCAGGAGGGTAGAGCGTGCCCTCAAAGGCCAAAGAACAGCTCAGCACTTGCCAGTTGTGGGATCTTGGGAGAACTACTTAATCGCACTCTGTCTCAATTTTTTAGCTACACAATAAACATGATAGTAACCACACATCCCTCCCAGGCTTATGGTTGGCTAAAAGTGGGTGTGAAAATGCCTGCAAGGGTGGAGCCTTCTCCAAGCGCTGGTCCTTATTTGATGCTACACGAAACACACAGATTGGAGGTCATAACCCCTGCCTCTCAGGGGATTAAAAACCTGCAGAATCGCTAATAACAAAGTTTCCATGCCTTTGGGTCTACATTGTATTTTTTTCCATATATAAGAAATGTGTTAACTTGTACAGAGAAGCAATTCAAAGGCCAAAGCAGGGCACAGCCCATCTTGAGTGACCAGTGAGTTCTCACCAATTCCCTTCAGCCTATGCCCTTACTAAAAAAGTCACAGCGTCCATTTAAGCAGTGACTCCAGTCAGCCATAGACTCAGAGCCTGTCCATACAGAGGGCTGAAGACCCCAGAGTGCCATTTACTCTAACCACATTTATCAGTGAGCATCACCTGGCCAGCCCCATGACTCAAATCCCTCAGTAACATTCCTTCAAACAGGAAGCCTAACAAACTATGATGGTCTTCACACCTGGGAATGGTGGAGCATAGTTAGCTCCTGACTTACATGGCAAACTCGGATACAACAACCTTTCAAAATCTAACTAGAGACAAAGGCCAATCCAGTAATTCAGACCTCACAAGCGAGCATCACCACCAACTTCCCTTTTGAATGCTTTCCATATCTCTTCTTAATAGCCCCTTAGTTAATCGACTGAAAGCCACACACACAAATGAGAACAATATCTGGGTGACTCTCATCATCGTTCACTTACCTTTGAATTTGATTTAATAATATCAGGCCCAGATAATTAATCTACATTTGCAGAAGTGGTAGAGGTGGCAGGAGTTCGTTCTGTAAGAATATTTTTGGGCTATAATCTTACAGCTAAGATTGTATCAGAAAGAGAATTCACTGATTGCAGACCAGGGAGGGAGAAGAACCCTGTCGCTGCCCTCTTGAGCATGAAACCAAGGAGGAAGCTCATCTAGGTTGCCTCTGTTGACCATCACTGTTCCCACCACTAGTGTCTTCCTGTCACATGAAGCCCAGGACCCTGAGATGGTAAAGAACCCTCTCCTGTTGGCAGGAGGCACGGGACACACCTCCATTGCTGGATGGGGTGAGTAGCCTTTTCATTACCTCCTAGTCCATAGACACAGGCAGCTCTTGTTTTCTGGAATCCAAACACAATTTACCATCTTCTGCCAGAGCTGGTGGCCACTTGAAGAGACCTTTATTCACCAGTAGCTCTTCTTACACTTGTCATTAAGAATTTAAAGTATGATTCTATAATACATCATCTATAAATCACATTGTGTGTTCACCACTCAGAGTAAGTTCTCCTCCCATCACCATATATTTGATCCTGTTTACCCTCATCTACCACTCCCTCCCCCCTTACCCTCTGGTAACCACTAAATAATTACCTATGTTTATGAGATTTTGTTTCTTTATTTGCTTGTCTTGTTCCTTTATTATTACAAAATTGTACACTTGAAACCTATATAATTTCACTAACCATTGTCACCCCAATAAATATTAATTTAAAAAAAGAACTTAAAGTATGATGTGTTTTTTGAATGAAATACAATTCAGGAAAAATAAAAATGTTTATTGTCTACATATTTTTATGAGTTACATATATATTACACATATATAGACTATGTTTCAGTATCTGTTTGATGCCTCATGCCTCAAACACTCCTTTATTTTTGCCCTATTCATGAAGGACTTATTGGTGCTTTTGGAGGAGGAGGGCAAAAGGCCAAAAATAGCATGAAATCCAGAATTTCACATTTTTCTTGTTTTGAACACATTTTTGTGCACTAGAATTAGTGAAAAGAGAGGATAAACAGAAGGATTTTAGAGAGAAATGGCCTCTCATTAAATATTAAAGAATAAACTAATTAGAGATAAATAAGCACCAGAGTTCAACCCCAGAAGAGGGACACAAAAGTTAGATCCATTGTTGATTTCTAGTTGCTGAGGAAGTGGAAGAGATAGAAAGGAAACTATCATTTGGGTGGGGATTTAGAAGTGTCTCAAGGAGGATGAGAGCACAGGAAAGGAAGAGTTCAAAATTCTTTCTATTTGGGTTCCCTTTTCCACTAACTACTTATAAAATAATGAAAAGGGAACCAGCACCTCGCTGGACTCTTCCTTGAGGTTGTGTGTGGCAAGGTGAGAGATCTGTGTCTCTTTGACTCTTTACCCCAAACTGGGGCCCTAGTTGCATGCACATGGCCTCAGATGCCATATTTCTGGGGTCAGCCCCTGTCTAGAGCTCATTCTGGGCTGGTGGTGGATTCCTAGCCCCTGCCTGCCAGGGTCAGCCACCGCTCGAGGACCAGCTACTGCTTGAACTTGAATGAATGAGTGTGTGTTCAAAGGGTTCAACAACCTGCATGAAGTTTTTTGTTCCTGAAATTATTAGATCAGGGGTTGTATTCCTAAAGCATGAGGACTGCATGCTACTCATCACTGTTTCAGAGGAAAGACATTCCAGGTGCATGGAGGATGCTACTTGAATGTGAGAAGAGGGCTACTATGATTTACAAATAGCTCATGAACTTGGCACTAGCCTCTCTCTCCAACTAGTACTTCTTCCTTGAGCTTCCCCAAAACTTGTATTCCTTTGCTGAAGTGCCCAACAAGAGTGGAAAATAAAATCATTGAAAATCCAGAAATGTAGACGAGACAATAAGCTATAATATAATGAGTTCTGTTCTCAGAATCCAAAGATCAAGGTTCAAAAACCATCTCCAGCTATGACTAGCTGTGTGACCAGGAACAAGTCTGAGCTGCAGCTGCCCTTGCCTATAGCACAAAGATTCTCAAATACTACCTGCCATCATAGCATCTCATGGTGGAGCTTAGATGAGGTAAAGCACTTGCCAGCCTCCAGCCCAGTCCCTTCCCTCATACTGAGTGCTCAACCAATGTTCATTGCAAAGTACTGAAGGAACATAAGCTAAAATCACACCACTAATTACAGAAATCATTGGTTTAGACTACAAAAGTGTCTGCACTAACCTATAAGAAATGGTGATTCCTTCATCTCTTCTTCGAATCCACATTCTTTGTGTTTTCCAGGAGCAGGTTTTTTGTGGGAGAACCTGGAGCTGGTCTCCTGAGAACAGCCAAGGCCAAGAGAAGTGCTACCAGAAGGCAGAACAGCTGTGGCTTCAATATGGAGAATGAGCCTCGTATCCTCAAATCACATCCAGCTGCCTGCCTGGAATGCCTCTTGCATGAGATTAAACCTCTCTGACCACAGTTGGAGAAAAGGGTTTTAGTCTGCCAAAGCTCTTCTGACGGTAAGCAGAGTGAGGACAGGGATTCCATTTGTTTGAATCATCACTGCTTTCCTGCACCTTCGACAGAGCTCTTCAGAATGGGAGATGGCCCTCCTCTTCACACCCTTTTCTTTCAGTCCACTCCTTGCTTTATTCTTCATCTCAGTAAGTGTCATCACCATCAACCTCATCACTGACCTCCCCCCATCTTGCTCTATGTCTCTGTGTAGCTCTTTCTCTTGCTCTTGCTCTCACTCTCACATTTTCCAAATGTGTACCAATTTATTCCTTCCTCTCCCTCTCCCTCTCCCTCTCCCTCTCCCTGGCTCAGGATGGGCCTTCAGAACTGCTTGTCCAGTCTGCCTTAGTCACCACCTTACTTGTCTTGCAGCCTGCACCTTACCGCCCTCCACCTCTCCCCACCCTAATCCATTTACCTAAACGTTTCCAAAGTATTCTTTATGCAACACAAATCTAAGAATGTCTTCCCCCTGCTGAAAACAATCAGTGACCCTCCACATCCCCTGGGGACTGTCTTTCA